CCGTTACGACAACAAGCGTATAATTCTCCAGAGCCATCTGCAGCACATCTTTGATAGCCAGCGGTTAGCAAACCACAACGTTGCCAATATACGTGACTTCATCGACAAAATTAGCTCCAACATGCAAGCAATGCAAACAATGGCTAATACAACGCAAATTACAGACGGGTTAATTTTGTATTTGGTCGTATCAAAATTGGATCACAACACGCAAATGAAATGGGAGGAGGAAGTAGCAGAAAAATGGGATCGAGCAGCACAGTCACAAGTTCTACGAATGCCAACATGGGAGGATTTGGTAAAATTTTTGCAGCGTCGATGCCAACTCATCGACATCGTTGATGTCAGTAAGGATCCACCGAAGTCGCTCAGTGGTACCGCACGTCAAGCATCATCCTCGTCGTCTGCGGCGCCAAAGCCTCACAAAACTACAAAACAATTGTCGTTTGTCGCTACACACCAACAACAAAAATGCAACCTGTGCGATGAAGCTATAAGTCACAACGCGTTCAACTGCACGGCCTTCATGATACTTACGTCTAGTTCGCGGTATGACGTAGCAAAGAAAAAATGCTTTATTTGAATTTTTTGGGCTTAAATCACACATCAAAAGAGTGCCTATCATCGCGCAGGTGTCAAGTTTGTCATGTGAGCCATCACACGCTGCTCCATCGAAGTCACCCAACAACACCATCGTCGCCACAATCTTCAGCTCAAGTTCAACCGCCGTCATCGTCTTTACAATCATCAACCGCCTTGCAATCGTCATCGAAACCAACCGTACTTCAGGTATGTTACAACACCGATCAAATTATATTAGCCACATTAGACCTTCTTCTAGGCGCAGACGTGTTTTACGACCTACTCATGGTAGGCCAGATTAGGTTGTGTGACAAACTTCCAATATTACAGAAAACCAAACTAGGTTGGGTTGTAGCGGGAACCGTTACCAATCACTCACACCTATCTTCGGCTGCGTTAGTTTCTTCATATACCACGTCGGTTAGCACAGATTGCCTCTTATCCACCACCAAGATGTCGCAATTGACGTTTAACTCATCACAACAGAAAACCGAATCCCTATCTCTAGAGCCATCTTGTGATGATATTTTATAGCGGTTTTGGCAATTTTAGCAACATTCACAACCACATAAGAGGCTTACTTCGGGCGATTTGGAGTGCGAAAACTACTTCCGTGATACAACAAAAATATGTCCCACCACAGGTAAATTCATCGTAAGTCTTCCGTTCAAAGAAGCACCACATTTTCTAGGCAGCTCACACGACATATCTCTTCTCCGTTTGTTGTCCACTAATCAAAATTACGTCGCGATAAGGAACTTCAAGCTGTTACGCTCGGGCCTCGGGCACATGATACGCATACCGATGCCTGGCGGCTCGGTCAGTTATATTCCACACCATGCGGTGCTCAAATTAGACAGCACCACAACCAAAATACGTGTTGTATTTGATGCATCATGCCGGACATCTAATGGCAAATCTCTTAATGATTTGTTACGTGTTGGCCCGACTATCCAAGATGATGTTTTTTCGATTCTTGTTAGATTTCATACTCACCTGTACGTTCTTATGGCATACATCGCTAAGATGTATAGGTAAATTTTCGTTGACCAAGATGACGAAAAATATCAATGCATATTGTGGCGAGATTCAGACAGTGGCAAAATTAGCCCATACCAATTACAAACGGTTACCTATGGAACTGCATGTACACCTTACCTGGCATCCAAATGTCTTCAACAGTTGGCAGATGATCACGCTTCAACGCATCCTATTGGCTTTCCAGTGGTACGTCGCGATGTCTATGTCGACAATCTGATGACCGGAGCATCCACAGTTCAGGAGGTGATAGAAATCAGAAATAAAGTACGTACACGTACTAGCCTGTGGTGGATTTCCCTTAAGAAAGTTTGCATCAAACGATCTTCGTACCATATCAGATATACCACAAGCTAAACGTGAAGACATAATTCAGCTTCATGATATCGACTATATAAAGGCATTAGGCTTACGATGATCACCGTCATTAGATTGTTTTTTGTTTAAGTACACACAGCCCCCACGATCATCAAAGGTGACCAAAAGAAGTATACTGTAACATATTGCACGCTTCTTCGATCCATTGGGGTTACTCAACCCTCTCGTCGTTAGCTGCAAGATTCTGATGCGGAAATTATGGAAACTTCGCTTAAATTGGGATAAAAGTGTAACATCCTGTCTACACACAGAGTGGCAGTCATTTTGCGAGCAATAACCCCTAGTCGAAAATGTCAGGGTGACCAGGTTAGTACAATTTGGAACTGAATACATCCTTCACGCATTTGCAGATGCAAGCACCAAGGCGTACGGAGCCTGCATATAAGTTGTGGTTCCATTGTCCAAATTTCATTGTACTTCCAAATCAGCAATGGCCACAAGTTGCAGTTAGCCCAAATGAATTGCCAGAACAACGCAAGCAGCCAACGGCGTTAGTAGTAACGCCTAATACAGACATCATCACCGAGCTTAAATTTGTCAACAATTACAACAAAGTTCTTCGAATATTTTGCTATGTACAACGATTCATCGATGCAAGTCGCGGTAAAAGTAAGCGTCACGACAATATCAACGTAGCAGAAATGAACAACGCACTATACACCATTTGTCGCATTATTCAAGGCCAAACATTTCCCGACGAACGAAAGCAACTTGAAGCCAGTAACATATTATCGCGCAAGTCATCGTTGGCACAATTGTCACCTTTCCTTCATGACGGTCTCATTAGAGTCGGTGGCCGCCTCGTCAACTCAACCCTTCCATTCGAGGAAAACATCCTATCTTGCTTCCAAAAACGCATCCCTTCGTTTCAACAACCATACTCCACCTTCATCGACAGCACCTTCATGCTGGAAATCAGGCATTACACAGCATTGTACGAGAAAGATTTTGGATTGTTAACGCACGAAACACCATCCGGCAGGTAATACATAAATGCTTAACATGTTATCGTTTTCGCCCTGTGTTGGCAGAACAGGTAATGGTCTCCCTGCCGAAGGATAGAGTAACTCAACCTTCTCCGTTCGAAGTAACCGGTGTGAATTATTGTGGTCCTCTGCTAATGACGCAACAAATTCGAGGAAAATCACCTATTAAGGTATATCTTGCGGTGTTCATTTCCTTCAGCTCCAAGGCCGTCCATCTCGAGTTGGTGCCCGATCTCACATCAGCAGCATTTATTGCCGCTTTGAAGCATTTTATCGCTCGTCGTGGAAGGTGTCGGGTTATCTACTCGGATAACGCAACGAATTATGTTGGCGCCAATCGCGAGCTTCTTCAACAATTCATGTCACAACAGCATAACGATGAAGTGCAACAGGCTTGCTGTGCAGAAGGCATCGAGTGGAAGTGTATACCACCCCGCTCTCCTCACTTCGGTGGCCTGTGGGAGAGCGCAGTGAAGCAACCCAAACATTATCTGCGCCGAGCCATCGGGGCTCATATTCTAACGCAAGATGAGTTGCGTACATTTGTTGCCAGGCAGAAGCGATTACAAATAGCCTACCACCAACGCCCATAACAAGTTCCCCAGACGATATGCGTCCTGTAACACCAGCTCATCTTCTTATCGGTCGCTCACTCACCAGCATACCAGAACCCTCAATTTCATCGTCAAAACCGGGAGTGCTAAAGCACTATCAATTATCCCAGTGGATACAACAACAATTTTGGGGACGCTGGAGCAAAGAATATTTGTGAGAATTGGAACAGCGGAAAAAATGGAAAACACAATCACCAAATTTAAAGTCAAATCATTTGGCACTATTGCAAGAAGACAATACTCCCCCATTAAAATGGCCAGTGGGCCGCATCGTAGAAGCTATCACAGGCACAGACGGAAAGGTACGCGTTGTTCTCGAAAAAAACAGCGACGGGCATACATAAAAGGGCGATAACTAGAGTCGCTAAGCTACCAAAAGAGTTCAATTCCAACATTTCTCTGGGAAACCAAATTTCCATGGGGCTGGGTGGATGTTGAGGCACCAGAGCCCTCAACTGGTTAATAGAGAACTCATGAAGGGCAACTCATAACGGGAGAAACATCCGACCCAGTTGTATTGGTTCCGTCGCTCGCATTTGAAAGGTAGGTAAATTGTTTTCATAGCAACAGCACAACTGTTACTTCCTAGTCACA